CCGAGGGACAGATCACAGTAAAGGGGTAAAACTCGCGACGCCGGCCATTCGAGGACCAGTATTTCCTTGAGGAGGAAAAAAGAAGAACGGTGGAGGACGGTGTCTGACTAGCCCGAGGCGTCGTCGTTGATTGCCGACCGCGTCGCCTGGTTCTGGAGGAAAGAAAACGGGAAGAAAACCGGCCGAGACTTCTCCGCCGGCCTGCAGGGACCCGACGATCTTTCAAAGACAACGAACTATATAGCGACAGACGACGCGACGCGACATGGGAAACAAAAATTTCTCCTGTGAAAAAAAAAAGAGAGAAAAAGAAGAAAAAACAGAAAGAGAGAGAGAGAGAAACATTGCGAACTGGTTAGGCAAATCACGAGAAAAAGATGAAGAATAGAAGATAGTTGGGTATTATACAGCGACCATTATGGTGGTATATAAAAGTTTGCATAAAAAAATCCGCAAAGAAAACTGAGCATGCGATCATCAAAACGCGAAATCAATTCAATACATCATAAATCAAATCAATATAAAATTAATTATTTCTTTATCGATAAAAATCATATCGTCCGTCATTTCCTAATAACTAATGTAAATCAATTAAAGAAAATTAAACGAAATAAACGCTCGAAGAAGCTAATTATATCTACGTACAATAAATCCTAATTTTGCCAGATGATATACATATATTAATAAGGTAAGAGTAATGGAAGAAAACGAAGAGACCAAAAGAAAAAGACGAAAGTTACGAGCTATGGCATTTGCATTTCGTTCGAGCACGAAAGAAAATCGAATCATAAAGTAACATGCAAGGATAACATGAACACCGACCGACCGAAAGTTACACTGGCCACAGTTTCGGATCTGTGGATCACTTTCGAATGCAAAGACGTAGATGGGGGATTTTCGCGAAATTCCAATATCGTCGCGATCGTCCAAGAAATCCGGCTAGGATTTCCGCGCGGTCGATCGTCCCTCTCGTTAAAACGATCGCGCAGGAGAAGGGAGATGGAAGGGGAGAGTGTGCAGCAATCCTACGATCTTCCTCCTGAGGAAGAAGAATCGTCTTCTTACGGAGGAAGATTGCGACTGACGCGAATTTTCTGCATTTCGTTCGTACATCCGGGCGTGTGGTCACCCCGAGGAAATCCGTTTCGAGGGACGAACTCGTGTTTGACGAACCTTGACCGGCCGAATGCTAATATCACGGACAGAACACGCCGTAAAACGGGAGAATTTCTTCTTAGAATCTAGCGGAAGTTGCGCTTCTTTTTCGGGAGAACATTCTGCTTTTACGAGTGAATTTCTCAAACACTTTCACGGCGGGCGTCGCACATATGTATTGAAATATTAATTTTAATAAGACAGTGTTGACGCAATTACACTGAAAGCCGTTGTTCACGTTACGATTAGGCGAACAATTTTTTCTCTGCAATTTCCTTCGATCCCTAGGTAAAAAAAAAAAACATCGAAAACATCTGCACTAGCATTTTGTACAAAATCAAAATGCAAATGTTCTAGTAAAGAACTAAAGAACTGGAAAAACTACAGGAAAGAAAAGAGTATCTCTATATACGTAAATATAAAAAAAGAAATTGTAAAGTAATATAAAATAAAATGAAAATATAAAGAAAAGGAAAGAAAGAAGACCGATAAAGGTTGAAATTCGCAGTGAGATCGAATTGCTTTAAATCTCCAAAGGGGAAGCGAGATCAAATCGAAACGACAAATCCTTTACGCGAAAAGACCGAGACCGACTAATTTCTCGAACGCTTTGATTAATGAAATGTCAATTTTTATATGAAACTTTTTTCTCCGATCGGTGAAATTAATATTCATCGAAACGTGCGCGAAACGTTTATCGACGGCGGAGAGAGAAATATGAGGGAATAAAGAAACCCATACCTCGGGCCAGGGGGTTTCCTTTATCAATCTCCCGGTCGTGGAAGGTTGAATGAAACAACACTCACCTGGAACGCACGTGGTTATGAAAAGATCGTGATTGTGCGCCAACTTTGAGCGTACAGGCACAGGTTAATGAGAACAATAATAATTTAGATTGTGTTGATAGTCGTATAATAATACGAGGGTTGTTTCCAGTGTAAACAGCAGCGAGAGGATAACGGGGTAGGTTGAAAGACGCGAGCTTAAGATTAAGGGTGCAATAATACCAAGATTTTTCCAATAAAGATCTCCCCGTCACGGTGTCGCGTGAAATTACTCATGCAGCTTTTAAATTCGTTAAGAGTCAATGTGATAAAGATTTATCGTGTTTCACTGTCGTCGGTACTTCTTCTTTTAGTCAACTGTTTGTCAGCGGGGCCGGAAACTTTCTTTGACGCTGGGGCAGTTTGTTATAGTCGTTGAGAAAAACGAGCGGTGGCACGTTTAGATAAAAATCATAGCGAGAAATGATATATATGTATTACGGTGTTGAAACGGAAAACGTGTACTTTGGTAAAAATAGCAGAAGACAGATGTATATTCCTGCTACACATAACAGAGAAGTTATTGCTATCGATCTGTTTCAATTTAATTTATCTGTCTATAATAAAAATTAATCTAACGTTTGTAACAACTGATCCGCTCATTTTACAATTGATTTATTAATCTATTATACCATTATCCCAGAATAACCCAGTTCTTAATTTATTACTCCATTTTATTGTTGTATTAATAATTTATGACACTATCATTCGAAATATTAATAATATTAGTAAATAAAAAAATAAAAAAAGAATCTAATAATGCTTTGCCTACCATAATAATAATATATTATTATATTACATATTATAATTAATACTAAATATCATAAATATATTACAATTAAAATTATTATACGTGTATATATGTTTCATTGAAATTATAATATATAATCTGTAGTATTAAAATTATAAAGTTGCAATTGAAATTATTAAATAATACCGTCTAAACTATTATACATTATATGTTACCGTGCCTTTAATTTTAATTTTAAAACAATGCTTTCAACCCCCTCCCTTCCGACGATTCACGCTCCAGTATATCCCACAAGATAAAATTCAAATTAACCGTCGGATCGTCCCTCGAATGCCAATCGCGCGCAAGATTCGCAACAAACTCGGCCCGAAGCAATTTCACACGTAGCCACCACTTCAAACACGAGAGAACCAGCCTCTGTGACCAATCAAATTAGCCAAAATCCCCGAAACGAATCCCTCGGCATCCCGGCACACAGAGTGTCCTCCACCAGAGAACCTCTTACACCGGACGGATTAACGATTTCTCCTTAATTGATTGATTCGTGCAAATAACCAACGCGGCCTTGACCGCGGGCTAAAACCAGCCGCAACACACGCCAACGCGTGTGAATGAAGAACGTTCGAAGGTGTTCTCGCACGCGCACGATTCAAGGCACACGTTTATCAGCGGACAGAGACGTTTCGTCTGTAACTTTGAGGCGTGTGGTAAATTTGCAAATGTTCTCAAACGTCTTACAATTCTCTTTTTCAAAAAAAACTGATCGTAGAGAAACTCTCGAAATAATCGTCTAAAGTTGTATATAGTATAATTTTTGAATAGCTCGCAAACCGATACAAGTGTTTGCAACTGTTTTTTACGACTTTCTTGTGGATATTGTTTGTAAGAAATTCTCTTGTAAATAATTCCAAGTACGATTTTTTGTGGAAAATTTGAAAAAAGAAACAGTGTGTACGACGCTTGATATTTAGAAATGTATAAAGAATGAAACATTCGAAAAGCTGCGAAATTTTTTTTTTCTTCAAATTATTCATTCATAACGCGTAGTTGAAATTATATTTTAAAACTGATTGTGAGAATATGTAATTAAATATTAAGCGAGATCATAGTACGACGAATAGGATACTTGGTCCTTTTGCCCCGAGTATTGTCTCGTTTTTGCACGTGTGTTGCACGAGCTTCTCTACAAACGTTTGCAAACTGTTCTCTTCAGAGAAAACACAGGCTGTTTAACCTTTCGAGCAGTTACGTCACACACGAACGTCATGACCAAAGTCAATCCACGGCGAGAATGACGGATATAAATAATCGGATTTTGAAAATTGTTATGTAGCTCAAGGTTTACGTCGCTGACTTACGAGACTGTGCCGCGTTAGACTTTGAAATGTTCCATTACTAGACACTGCGAGATTCTTTATATAACTTTGCAGTTTTATAAACACGAAATTATTGCACATTATTCATGCAAAAATTATGGGTCTCGATTAATTTGAGGTATTCTGCGTAACGTTAAAAAAAATTCGTTCCACTAACAATAAACGTGTTTTCAATGATGGTAATGCTCAATAATTACTCCGACAATTTTCCATATAAAAAAAAATATTCCAAAGAAAACCAAGGGCGTGATTGACATCATTGAACTTGCATATTCAAGACCGTAATAACAATCGAGCGTAAAATTTCAATCCTGAGAATTTTATTTTAATTAAATTTAACTTTATTTCTTCGAAAAAACTAACGAGTTAGTCGATATCCAAATCCAAGGGCATTTGCTCAATTCACATCACTGAACCACATGTTGAAGACTGTGACGATAATCTGGCTTTAAATTTCAATCCTGAGAATTTTGATTATAAATTTAATTTTCACGTCTTCGCGTCGAAATACATTGTGTCACGCGTCTGTAAAATATCCAAAGTAGCAAATTGAAAATAACAAAAATTACAAGTTAATCGCTTCGACTTCATTCTGGTCTTCATTGCTGGTGGAATGACGTGCCACGCATGTCGAGAATTTTTTGTCCCAAAATTGCAAGTATTTTCTCAGTTTCAAGCATATTTAAGTACAACCCAGGCAAAACAAATGATAAGTTTATTACTTCTTAATAATTTCTAATTCTCCCTAATGAGTTCAAAAGAAAAGGAAAGCCACGAATTATTGTACACGGTTCGGTCGCTCGTTACGGTCCGCGAACCAGTTTGCCAGCACGAGCGGTTAAGCTTAAGAACAAGTTGACTTTTGGCCATGGAAACGCGGTTGCAGCGGTGACCGGAAGTGGAGGAGTCGACTCGGGCCAGGTAACCGAGGCTAAACACGTCCGCGTGGTGGATAACAGATCCAACAGTATCGCCTAACGGTGACAGTCGCGCAGGCTGGTCCCAATCCCCATTCGCCACGATAACGAGAACGCTGTGGTTCTCGACGAGGCACCAAGCCCCGCGCTCCGTTATTACAACCCGAGTGTCCCACCCTTTCCCCCGTTTCAACGAAATAGCCCGGGATCACGCGAAAAATCGGCTTCACGCTTCCGTTCACGGGGCGAGCTTCGAGAATAGCGTTCGAGCACGTGATAGGAAACGTCGAATCAATTTCTTTATTACGTGCAGGCCACGCTGCATACTACGTACGGTATATACGTATTATATTTCGTAACGCGGCTTCCCAACGACGACGTCATCATCGGCACGTTCCCCTGCCTCCAAATGATACCAATTTCCTCTCTCTTTCGGAATCGTTGTTCGTAGATCGAACCCTCGTCCGATTTGGAATACCGGATTGAGAATTTTCGCGACACTTTTGAGCTAAAAAAACTCTTGACTCGCAACAGATGCAAAGTAATATCAAATACATGTATATATATATATTATATTATATTATATTATGTTATATTATGTTATATTATATTATGTTGTATTATGATATGTATTCTATAAATGTATGTTTTAAATATAGTAAGATGAATAATAATGTAGATACAAATATAGTTATACACAGACATAATATACCATACTTATTATATTCTAGTGTACAATATATATATATATATGTACATACATATTATACATACACATACATTTAATTATACAGCAAAAAAAATTTGACTGATGAATATTTACAAAGAATATTCCTTCTTTAATGATACAATTCATTTGTAAAAAAATGAATTTGTAAGAAATTGCTTTCACAATGATACACGATACAGTATATTTCAACACTAAAACTACCAAAATGGCCAAAATGGCCAATCGCGAATTTTCCACAGGAATTTTATTAACTTGCAACATTTGCAAATTGTGTTTCAGAGATATGAATCTTCGAATGATTTTGTTCAAAATCATGTGTCTTTCACCGTATTCGTAACTCTGATCGATTATCGTCGGTAGTTCTAGCGCTAACAGGTCCCTAGGCTATAACCATTTCAATGTTTCCACTGTCATTAATTCGCAATAATCTTGCCTCGAACGTTTTCCTTCGCGGTATTAACTGCATTTCTAATACAATATCTAATCCTCGTGGCCTCGTGGCATGGAGATACGCAGAAAAACACAGCGAAATAAAATGTATGTTCAATCCTGTCTTATCTATTATATCTACACGTGTCTATATTCGACGAAACGTGCTGTAATTTTTTTCCAACTTTCCAACACTCTCTCTCTCTGTGATCGATTCCTCCTCCATAAAAATGGTACAAAAGTGAACGAACGAAATATGAAAATATATATAAAGTATTACGAACATTTCGCGGAGCATGGCGCCTGTTATCCCCTTTCTAACGTTTCTCGAAAAGCGAGCGAAACTTTGAATGTAAACGAATGTAAGCCGTAACGCTTACATTGTTCCTACCTGCAATTACGTTAGAAAAGAAATAAAGAAACTTTATAACACACTTTCAGTTTACTCTTGAATAACGAATCGGACGTGTACGTTCAAGTGCGGTGACGCAGCAGTACAGGCTGGTCTATAACCTAATCTGCTTTTACAACTTTCTATATACCCACGTACAACGATCGTACAATTGTGCAATTAGGAAAGTATATATGTTACGCAGGCCTCCGCGAGTTTTGTATCGATCTGCGATCACCGCAGAAATATTAAAAGATTTAATAGTCCACGGTATGTATAATCTCATCTGATCTAAATTCAACCTGTTTTATATTTCGTGCGAATAAATCAAATTCGGCATCACGGTTGCGAATGACGGGGAAACTCGGTTACGTATGGGGAAAATTGCTATTGCGATTGCTGTTGTACGTAGTTAGAACAGAGAGGAAGGAAGAGAAAAGAAAAATGGAATCCAACGTCGAACGAAAAATTATAAATCTCACTTGCGTGTGACGCAATGGTTTCTAAAACCGAAAGAATTCAATTCTATACAAACAGATTTCTTTGTTCTCAACGCGACTGTTGGAGAAAAATTGAAAGAAAGGACGTCAATCGAAAATTGCGAAACCTTATATTTCTATAATAGAATGATGAAACTTATCTGGAAAGCCTTTGTTAATTAGTGATTACAAACTTGTTAAAACTTCGGTGTTCTCCAAAAGGTATGCAAGTCTACATTTTAACGAACGAATTTCTTCTCTTTAATACGACCAAAATTAAATGAAAAAAACCTAAATTTGACCCATCCCCCCCCCCCCAAAAAAAAAATTAAACTTGTATCATTTCCTCTTCTCTAACATAACTGACAGAAAGAAAAAAAATAATAATAATAAAACCCAATTGACCAATGAAGACCAATCTGACCTATCCCCTCAAAAAATTGAACATGTATCATTTCCTCTTCTCTAACATAATTGACAGAAAGAAAAAAAAAAAATAATAATAAAACCCAATTGACCAATGAAGACCAATTTGACCTATCCCCTCAAAAAATTGAACATGTCATTTCCTCTTCTCTCGCATAACTGACAGAAAGAAACATAAAATCCAATGTCAATCACAAGATGTAACATCTCATTCGCACAAGACAACTCATAAAATTAAAAAAAAATTAACATCGCACGGTTTCTAACAAATCTCTCTCTCCAACGCGACTGACGCCCGACAGAGCAGAATGATATTTAGTGAATGACATTATCCCGGTTTCGACTTCGGAAGAACGACGTTTCATATGCGCGAAATGTAATGTCGTTACAACCAGAGAAAGTTCGTCGTCTCTCGGAAGAGAGAGAGAGAAAGAGAGAGAGAGAGAGAGAGATGTGGTGGAAGTGGTCGGACGTGGCTTTTTCACCGTGGAAACGAAAACCAGACGCGATAAATTATAACGATGGCGGTGGCTCCCGCCGGCGAAAGAGACCGCAAGAAAGCTCAACCTTTGGCTCATCCTCTCAAAGGGCTATTGAATCGATTTCCGTGGGATCGAGGAATCCTCAAAGCGGCCGATTGCTCGGCTGGTCATCGGGCTGGATTTCGGTTCGATGATTTAATGAGTCGAATTCTAACTTTATTCAGCGTTACGCTGAACCTGGAGGGTTAATCTCTCGCTACAAGAGCGCAGAAATCGGCTACCTATTTTTATTCAGATCGGAAATTACGATGCTCTCTCTCTCTCTCTCTCTCTCTCTCTGGTATTTTCTGTCTTATTTTCGAAATAAATCGAGCGTGGCACCATTGAGTTTTGATGCCTTAAGTCAAGTTGTTAAAAGGAAAATTTTATTTTAAATTATACGGTAGGAAGATCGAAGAGAGAGGGTTAGATTTTTAGAACTAATATTCCTAGAATTTAATTCTTAATTGTTCAGCATGTGTCGAATTGACAGATAGGAATAAATTTTCTTTGGCGACGAAGGAGAAAAGTGGCGATGAATTTTAATAAATAACAAGAATAAACATTTCACAAACAGTTGAAATTCCCGATCGCGGTTTCAATTTTTCCGGCGCTTCTTCTCGTTTCCATTACATTTCATTACTCTGCATTACAATCCTTATGTTCTTTGCAATTGAAACAAGATAGGGTGCCACGAGGCGCCACGTCCAAGAAATTCGAGCACTTGTACCAGAGAGAGATTCTGCAATATCGTTTTCTACAGTGCGCAATCCGCGTTTCATTTCCCATTTCATCACGCCATTTGCATAATTAACGCGGAAGTAAAAGTACAGTAGCGAGTACGACCGTCCAAGTTGGACAGAAAAATTTACATGTTTGCGTAATAACGGGACGAGATCAAATTCTGCGCGTTTTCGGAGTACCGAGGACACTGGAAATCCGTAAAGGAAGAGGCACGGAATTTTTGCAAAGTGTTACGTAGACAGATTGAAGAGAAATCAAAAATTGAAATTGCCGATATACTTGATTCCACTTGCTCGTTGCTTTATATAAAATTATCTATTAAAACAAAGTAAAGCTTATACATGTTATTTATTAAATAACGAAGTACGAAATCATTTATTAAATAACAATGTTTAATTTGTCTGTTCAATTAATAATTTGTGTAATGTTATTTATTAATGTGAAATTAACTTTTTACTATTTGCTGCAATACTTACAGAACAAAATATATCACTCAATCATAATTCATACTTCATATATAAAAATTGTAATTATACAAAAATATATATAAATATTCATCACTCTGCGCGAAACACGTATTGACGATCGAAAAAGCAGAAATGTTTCTGAAACGACAGATCGACGCACGATAAATTGAATTGCATCTTCTCATTTTCATAAACGCGAATTAATAAATAAATTTACACTTTTTATACATACAAAATAATCTTCTGAAATTCACATCGGTAATTACTAAATTTAGACGAAATAAATTCCGAAGCCTGGACTTTGAGTGTAGTTCACACATCCCTCTAACATGGACGATTAGCGACGAAAGAAAGTTTAACAAAATAAAAATATAAATACAAGTTATAAATAAAAATATTTGACAAAGTCAATTCCGGAGCCTCTAACTTTAACTTAAGGGTAGTTTACACCCCTCCAGCAAAAACGAATAAATACGTGAAAGCCAAATTTCATCAAAATCGATGATTCACGCTTCGGCGTGTTCCCTTGTTAAAGTCAAAATACTAACTTTTGAAAGAGAAGACCGAACGTATTTTAAAACAAACGGCGAGCAAAAGAAGAAAAAGAAGAAGAGGAACTACCATATCTTGTAATTACAAAAATTACCTAGACGTTGAACGAAGCTGCTGTAAAAGTCTCGCCCGAAAGGAGAAGAAGTTGCTCTCGAGGATTAAGGAAATAAGAAGGGAGTGTTTTCGCAGGAATGTGAAAAATTAGAGGAAGGTGTCTCCGTTCGGGAACGAGGTAAAAAAGAAGGCGCCCGATCTCCAGAATTGGACCGAAGAAGAGGAGAGTGATCGTTCTTTAGAATCAAACAAATTAGAGAGAAACTAGAGAGGTGAATGTGTTTCTCTTTTCTTTCTTTCTTTCTTTCTTTCTTTCTTTCTCTCTTTCTGTTTTTCGAGAATTAGAGGAGCGAGGAGAGATGTGTTGCGCGGTGCGGTGGTTTTGTTAGACCACGTGGAACTTCTCTCGGTGCAGAAATAAAAATCAGCGGGCAAAAATTCCTGGAGATAGTGGCCACGGCGGCGCCTAATGCTAATGGCCGTAGACAAAATTAGAATCATTTGTAGCAATAAGGCTCTCCTTCTCGGCTTGATCAAACGGAGCATTGCCCGGTGGGGCTAATAAACATTCCACGTCCTTAAACGTAAAGAGGATCATTAAGAGGAGAGATTGAAAAGAGAAAGAAAAAATCTGCGATACGATACTGTAAATATTAATTAATACAGTAAAGTTAATTAACACGGGCGTGCTCTTCACTGTACAGAGTACAATGGTGTACATTCGATGAGAAATTGTCCAATTTTTGCTTCAGATTATTATAACTTTGCAACAATGTGTTAAGGGATTAATTGCTAAATTGCAGAAACGTAATTTACACGAATGAAAGTAAACATTCTCAACAAACAAGAATCGACTTCCATCTGGCGCCATCGCGTGAATTTCGGATTTAGAAGGAAGGAAAGACTGAATTTTTAGTAATTTCTTTGGAATTATGGAGAGATATAACCGGGAAGGCTAAGTGAAAACTCTGGTACTTTCGGCATTAAGGTATAAGTTAGTTAGCGAAAGCTTTCCAAAGAATTGAAGGAAGAAGTTGACGGTTTCTGAAAATAAAAATAAAAGTACCCCGACGTTCAAAACCGTGAAAAATCTCCCGTGTTTCGCAATTTTACGTTTTAGTATAAAAGCAGATTAATTATAACCAGTTTTTTGCACTCGAAGTTAAAGTAAAAAGAAACATAACCAAACACACAATTAATATTCAAAAGGACGATGCAAATAATAATAACAGTTAATAATTAAAAAAAAAAAACAATGTTACACGTATCATGCTATTCTGTAGTTTTCCATTAGGCGTAGAAACAAATGTTCCTAAAAAATATTTGCTACGATAGAGAATAAACGATTATAGAATAATTGCAAGCGCCTGTTTCAAGCGTGTTCAATTTTCATCTAAACTAGATTACAATTCATCCTCAATCTCACGAGGCCGCCCAGAACGTGATCTGTCATTCACGTGAAAATTACCATTTTTATACTCATCCAGCCATTCTCAGCACGTTCCCTCTAACACGATATTGTCCCCACATATACATACGTTCGACAGATTATTCTACAAGTTTCGACGACAGAAAATAATCCGAAGCGAAGTACCCACTTACGTGCAGCTTGCCAACATTCGTTTTCAGTTTGATCCAATCAATTCACACGTTTTTCGCCGGTGAAATATATTTTCTATTTAGAATTGTAATTTTATAATTTCATAAAACTGTTACGAAAAAAAAAAAAAAAAAAAAAAAAAAAAAAAGACAAACAATTCCAATGAATCGAACAGAGGAAAGTTCGTTCGATCCAATCTCTCACTCAGGTTTCATAATTTTGTAAACGCCACAGTAAAGAAAACAATTTAAACGTACACGTAACGCGAGTTTCGTAGCCGCGACAATCTGAACGCAGTGAGCGAGAGATGGATGCAGGTGGAGGGGATGGCGCTAGCGAGAGTGGGGGGCAAGAGGGCCGCCAGTTGGCCACCTCTAGCTCAAAATATTCAAACTACCATCCATACGTAAGCGTGGTAAAACGAAGAGCGAGGTTCTCTAACGTGAGGGGCCGGGAAAACATTGAAACGAGGGAAAACTTGGACCTCGGTCTCCCTTACGCGAGTTCGAAAACGAGGCAATCTCGCTTTCTGGGCAATCAGCGTCATAAACAAACGATAAAATCAACATGAAAAATGCATGCATCTGCCGCGCGCGACTCCGCGAGAAGGAGCAACTGCTTGTTTACGTAACCGGCACGGTAATTTCGCGTACGATCGCCAAGATACGCTTCCACGTCATTAGACAGTGGAAAAATACGCGGGCGCTGAGAGATTCGGTTGTCGTTGAATGCCGGTCGTTCCGTTTCCGAGAAGAAGCGAGCCATTTCGGTCGTTAATCGACTGACGGAGTGAGGAGAGGGTGTTATGCAGGATGGAAAGCTGCAGGAAGAACGGCGGTAGACCGAGATTCGGGGAAAATGAACCGCGATTACGATGACGGAACGACGGTGCTTATTCAAAATCGTCGCCCATCCGGCCGGATCGCCGTGTTTTGTTGCTCGATTGACGCGCGAGCTTCGGATAATGGATTGGACTTTCACCAAAGTGAAGACGTCGAAAACGTGCGTGCGTAATTATGTTATTTTGTTAAGAGAGAGTGCGTCATCAAAAGTGTTTTGCTTTCATATCGTAACGTGAGCTTTCACAAAATAGAAAAAAATGAAAAATATTATATCTTACATTGTGTTATTTAGATCTGTAATATCTAGAGCATCTCTCAGGTGTCATTTTTCTCTTTTCTTTTTTCATCCACGCGAGTTTCAATGACTCTATGTTTCGACCCTGTAAAACTCTTCCTAAAAATATATAGATATATAAACGAATCGTCACTTAAGTTCATCAAATACCTCCGAATATAGAATCAAGAGCGTTTATATTCGCGAAAATCCAAAAGAAACCTAGTCGATACGAAGCGATCGTGCTCTGAACGAAAGTTGGACTAGCAGCAGGGTCCACCAACTGCTCGACTTTGGCCGCAACTCGCCGCGAAAACAGCGAGACGGGGGCGACAGCGCCTCCTAGACGCGCCGGGAATCCGAGAATTCTGAAACGGGGCAAAAGGAGGAGAGTCGTTCCACGCGGCTCGGTGGAACGGGAGAAAGGAGGGGGAGGAGAGCGTGGAAAGAAGGAGAGAAAAGCGGCCTAGGTGCAATCGCGCGCGGGTTCGAAAGGTCAAGTTCAAGCTGGCGGGAGATGCCATCTACAGCCACGAATAGAAACGGCGCCGTTGAAAACGCGGGGGATAAACCAAGCGATAGGGGAGAGATAGTGGGAGACAGAGGCATTCCTGTGACTGCTCGTCTTCTCTCCCTCGACTCTGCTGCAATCACACGCGTGCACACACACACACACACACACACACACACACACACGTACACGTATACACGAATAGGCGGATGAAATGAAAGAGAAAGGAAGAGAAAGAGGGAACGACTACGAAAATAAAATGGCACCGTGCCAATGCACGTGTGCGCGGCGACCAGAGGGGGATTCACGATTTTCGCGAACATCGCCTCGAATCGGCCATCTCCAACTCCCATCTACTTTGTCCTTTTGCCCGCTCTTGTG